CCCCGCAGGCCCCGCCCCGGCCCCGCCTCCACGACCGCCTGCCCCGCGGTGTACTCCTGCTCCTCGCCGTCTCCGCCGCAGGCCACAGCTCTGCTGCCTCACTCAGGAGGAACGGGCCAGCCCCGGGCCACGGGCTTTGTTCGGGATGGCCGAGTCCACAGACCAGGGGAGCTGGTTGTGCAGAGCAGGGCTCCTGGCATTTTGTGAAAACCTGTCCAGGGTTTGGGGGCGGGGAAATGTAAAGGAATAGCGTTTGGAAGTATACTTTGGCTGATGCTTGAGTTCAACCAGTGTGAACATTGCAAAGGGCGGCTGGAAAAGGGTTAGACGATTGTGATAATTCTCAGAATTTTGGCACTCAGGTCTAAGACTAGGTGGAACTCTAGGAGCCTAGGACAGGTTGTCAGAAAGCCCCGATGCTGGCGGAATCCTTAGAAATCAGTGTAGTCCCCACCAGAGAGACGGGGAGACTAAGGCGGGGTGGCTCTGGGGCCAGCAGAAATTTCTTGCACTGGCATCCGCGGACAGCCACACGGGGCTGCGTTGCCGGTCCTTGCTCTCCCAGTGCTGGCCTGTAGGGGTCGACCCCTCACAGTCCAATCACCGTTTTGAGTGAAAGGAGCAGCTGGTAACTCCGCCTGGGACAATAGGCGTGAATGAAGAATGTCCAGGGCCAATTGGGATGCAGGAGCACCCTGCTGGCCTGCCTGCCAGGGTCTGGCAGAAGGGCAGAGGGAAGTGGCACTTAGAATCACCCGGGGAGGCTTAAGCTGGTTTCAAATTGGGTTTCTGTCACTGGCATTCAATAGTCGAATATGATAGATTTAGATAGAAATAGGCGGCTTCATGGTTGACAGCCTGAGTGATCAAAGGTCTTTTGAAATGTTGCTTGAGACCATGAATCAACTTTCAAGATGCAGAGGCTGGTTTTTTTAAACCTTGGAAGTTTAAACTGATAACATGTCCTTGTGCTGTCAAGAATTTGGTTTCTTCATTCCAGTCGTTCTCAAACTCCAGCTACATCAGAATCACCTACAAGGCTGGTTAAAATACAGATTGCTGGGCCCCACGTCAGGGTATCTGTATTTCTAACAAGTTCCAAGGTGATACTGATGCAGCTGACCTGGAAACCACCTTTTCAGAATATTCTTTATAAGATGGAAATGAACATTTTTTGAGCACTTAGGATGTGCTAAGCCTACTTTGTTTTTCTTTTATTTTCTAAGATATAATTCACATTCCATAAAATTTAAAGTCCACAATTCAGTGACTATTAGTATGTCCACAAAGTTGTGCAACTATCACCGCTAATTCCAGAACATTTTTTATCACTCCAAAAGAGAAACCCCTTACCCATTAGCAGTCACTCACCATTCCCATTCCCCATCCCTCTCCACTCCTGGCAACCACTAATCTGTTTCTGTCCTTATAGATTTGCCCATTCTGTTACTTACCACAACCCGTTCAAGGTTCATCCATGCATATATCAGGGCTTCATTCCTTTTTTATGTCTCAATAATATTCCATTGTATGGATATGTCACATTTTGTTGATCTGTTCATCAGGTGGTGGACATCTGCGTTGTTTCCCCTCTTTTGGCTGTTATGAATATGCTATGAACATCTATGGACAAGTTTTGTGCGGGTACATTTTCTGTTCTCTTGGCCAGGTCCCTACAAGTGGAATTGCTCAGTCATATGGTAAAGCTATGTTTACCTTTTTAGGGAACTGCCAAACTATTCTCTGAAGCAGTCACACCATTTCACATTCCCATCAGTGATGTGTGAGGGTTGCAGTTTCTCTGTATCTCATCAACATTTATTATTTTCTTTTTTATTATAGCCATCCTAGCGGGTGTGAAGTTGTACCGCGTGTGGTTTGGATTTGCAGTTCCCTAGTGACTTATGATATGGAACATCTTTTCATGTGCTTGATGGTCATTTGTATGTCTTTATTGGAGAAATATCTAGTCATATCATTTGTCCATTTTTAAATTGGGTTATTTGTCCTTTTAGTGTTGCATTGTAAGGTTATTTATGTATTCTGGACGCTAGACTTCTTACATTATTTTAAATCTAATCCTCATCTGTTAACCCTAAGATATTTTATGATCCCTATTTTAGAGACAAAACTGAAATCCAGGCAGGTGAAATGATCTGCCAAGTTCACAGTAGTAAGTGGCAGAGATGGTACCAATGTGCAGACCTTTCTGGCTCCAGCTCTTTTCCCCTGTATCGGATACCTGTTGCTTTGCCCCAGCACCCACTTCTTCCTGTGCAGCATCATGAGTTTGCTATGGGAAGCGGACCTTACGACCCTCTGCTCCTGTTTTTCAGGTGGAACTGAGGGCACTCCTGGTTTACAGAAGTAAAACCCATGCTGGCTATGACCACAGGGGCTGGCTTGGTGATGGCCATGTGCCTCCCACCAAGCCAGTCAGGGTGAAGGAGATGCCATCCTGGTCTGGGTTACCTCCTGGGGAAGTAGGCCAGCTCTGGTGCTGATGGGGCTATCATTACCTGAGCCTGGGCCTGGAGTTTATGTGGAGGAAGCAAAGCTAGTGATGTGTCCTGGTATGAGTGTTTGAGGGCCAAACCACACCATGCCTGAAACAAGCACTCCCTGACATTTCAGCTTTTGTGAGCCACTGCATCCCCCTTTTACTTGTCAGTTTGGGTTGGTGTTTCTGTCACTTGCAACCCAGAGGCCTCATGGATACGGGTTACCATCAACAGTACTCCATGTGTCCAGAGCAGCTTTTTCAATAGGTTTTTATTGAAATGGTTATATTAGCAAATCCCGCACATACAGGTATACACTATCGGCACATAGGTATACACCATATAATTTCACTACTTAATGATACTTACATCAACCACATAGACTTAGGAGTTGTGCTGCCCAGAACATTTGAAAAGGCTTATACTTACAGGTGTCTGTGTTGTAGACAAGGTAACTCCCCCTACAGTGAGCCCCAAATTAAGCTAATGATCAGTTTTGCTTCTTGGATATTTGACATGTGTTCTTCCTGGCACAAGCTAGCCAAGGGTGCATTAAAATTCAAGTGCATAGTTTCTCTTTCATCGCTCAAGGTGGAAGATAAGTCATTTGCCATACTGAGGTGTATCCCAACCTCCCCCGCACCACATCACCTGCGCGTAGTTAGAAAAACAGTTTGTACGCCATTCTCGGAGATGTTGTGCATAGTTAGCAGGAACCCAGAGTAAGAGGGGCTCTTGGGATGACTCATTTTTGAAAGGGGCAACTTTAATATTTGATATGAATACAAAAGCTACTGAGGGTCAAAAACAATCGTGACAGATGTGGCCTAGGATTTGGCCCAACTCTTTCTCTTGTACAGGAACAAGGTTGTTCTATTAGGGACGGTGTTTCCCAGACCCAAACAGCATTTCCTAGCTTGGGGTCTCTTCCTGTTTCTGCAATCACACTGGTCAATCTCCTTAGACAGAGCCATTGCCACTTGGGAGCAGGCCCTGCTTCCCATTCTCAGCTAAGGCACCAGAGTCTGGCCCCAAGTTTGGACCAAGGGCGCCGCTCCTCGGCTGGGTCAGCAGCCAGGTCTGGGCTGCCGGGGTACATAGTGCCCTCTCCGCTTCTCTCCAGGATGGCATGTGTCATCTCAGGCTGGACACCCAGGAAAGGGGCTGGGACCATGGCACTGGCCACACCTGGTGACCTGGTCCTCATGGCATGCTGACAGTCAGTCGGTAGTCAGCCTTTCTGCTTGGGAACAGCTTACTCACCTGAGGCCTGGGACGTTACAGTCTGCCCACCCCATCCTCACAGTATCTCCAGTCACTAGCAAAGTCCTTTAATGTCACATAGCATAAATATACTTGGACTTAGTTGTGGATGAAAGATAATTCTGTAAGCAAATTAGAATTCACTTTGTGTTGGGTTAAATTTGTAAAAAATAGCTCAGAACAATCATCTCTAACTCTCGATAGTTGCCAGTAGCTGCAGAGATTGCTGGAGAGTGCGAGTGATAATCACTGAAGTGGGTGAAGAGCTGAGGAAGGCCAGTCAGGCTCACCAGGTGACCAGCAGTGGCCTGGTAAGCATTGAGCAGTTTCAGCCCAGCATTCAACAGATTGAGGACCCTGGGAGCTGTGTCCCAGGGGATTAAGGGTCCACTGCAGCTGAGAAAAGGGTGCTCATGACATCCTCCAGTTCTCGACTTTTCCACAGAAGGAGAAAATGTGGTTTATGAAGGTGCTTCCTACTGAGCTAGAGCACACATGCCCTGGGAGCTGCCTGGCACAGTAATGCTTTCCCAGGCCTGCTACTCCTGCGAAAGTCAGCCTCTTCAGGCAGCCGAAGCATGTCTGTGCGACCCCAAACCTGCATCTTTTAGTGGGAGGAACTAGGAGAGCCCAGGACGAAGATCTCCAGCAACACTGAATCCTTCTCAAAGTTCAATACTCAGGTTGCATGAAGTTCAAAGTTTTTGTTTTTTGTTTGTCATAAAGTATCTTCCTTCTTCCCCAAGTCAGAAGGAAGAAAACAGAAAAAAATGGCTTGAGCTAGGGTGAACGGCAAGAGGAAAAACCCCAGATGAGTTCTAGGTCATGGACTGGGGGCCCCCACAGGGCCTTCAGGGATCATGAGAGCCAAATCTTGGGTGCAGATGTGTCATCCTCTTAGCAGCTGAGGCTGATGGTACCCTTTACCCTCCATGGTTCTTGAAGGC